TCAAATAAATAAATAAAAAATCTTAAAAAAAAAAAGCACGGTTTATTTCTATCTTCCTGCTCCCAGCGCTCACTTGAATATACTCTCTCTCAGGTCCCAGTTCAAAGGTTTGGCCCTTCACAGAGCATTTTTGTTTCCGCCTAAGTCTGTTTATGAGATCATTTATCCCAGCATCATATTCCCTATCTCCCTGGCACTGCCCCCACCCCCACTGTAAAAACACATTTATAGCCACAGAGAGGTAGAGACAAAGGCGCAATCTGGGTGTTTGTGGACCTCCTATCTTTTGACAAAGATCCAGGTCTAAATGACTTCGTTACGCTGACCACGTGCAGACCATGCCCGCTGCCCTGCAACACTTGAAATGCGATCATTAACTTTCGTAAGTGACTTTCTAGTTTCCACCCTCTGAACAGAAATCAAGAATGCATTTTTGCTTTAGGTCCTTAATGTCCAGATGCCTCATTATCTAAACAAGGCAAAATTATGTGAACGTTGATCTACAAAGCAGCACCGTCTCTGCAGCTGAGGACTCTAATACATAAATCAGGAGGGTTTTCCCTAAAAAAGATGGACCAGCCCTTTGCTGGCCATAGAATTTTCCTAGGAAATTCTACCAGGCTCATACGTTAGAATGACCTCAGCACCTGCTGATGACTGAAGCTGGAAAAGGAGAACAAAACTCCCCCCCCCCCCCCCGGGCCCCCGCTGCCAGTAGTTTCAGTTAGCTGAAAAAAAGCACAGAATCTCCCTTCTCTAGGTCTTTATGGTGATAATAAAAATGAAACTAAGTAATAAGGAGGCCTGGCTGGCTCAGTGGATATAGAGTGTGCAACTCCTGATCTTGGGGTTCTGAGTTCGAGCTCCACCTTGGGTGTAGGGATTACTTAAAAATAATTTTTTTAGATACAATCTTAAATTTAAAAAAAAATGAAACTAAGTAATATATTTTAAGCACACGCACTCACACACGCATGCACGCACGCCGAGCACTACTAGGTAATGTCTGCACATTAATGTCTGTCCCACAGTTCTGGCGTTAATCAGAACCTGTTCCGTAATTTTTTTTCCTCTCGAGTAGGAATGCAGGTGAGGGCTTTTCTGTATGGAATGAGCACATTCCACTAACTGAAAACTGATTTGTGCCCTGGCTACACCTACCTCACTGTATGAGTGCGCTACTGTAAGTCAGCTGTCCATGATAAAGGGAGGACATTTAAATCTGTAAGTTGGAATCTCTTCACCCTTATTACCAAGCAGATAAACCACACTAGGAGTTTTGGTTTACTTTTCAAAATCACCTTCTACCTAGGTTCCGGAGGACCCAGTTGAAGCCAGGGTTCTCCCTGAATCACGTAATAATAAAAGCACCGAGGAGTCACGCACTTCTGCTGTACCTGGGAGACTGCCGGTTCTCTCCATGGCGAAACCTCTGTGCTGTGACGCCTTGAACTGGACTCGAATGCACTTTTTGACGACCAGTTCCTAAGCCAACTAGGCATCTCGTCTTGAAGACTAAAGGGAGCACCGTCCTATTGTCGCTGCGCGTGTCATTAGACCCTCTCACAAAAAAGACAAGCATACAAACGTGAAAGTCGTAACTCATTTATTGAATGAATAGTATATGCAAGGATACCAATAAAAGGAAACTAATACTACAAACTACCATTTTGAAAATAAAGCCAATATAACAGGAACAAAATATACATAACATGAGAGGAATGTTTGATTTTGACCCATAATGCATTCCTTATCTTTACAACGAACCTAAATGCCTGTTAGAACAAAACTGCATACCTTGGTCTAACCTTTAGTGCTTTTCAAAAAAGCAACAACATTCTAGAACACTTTTCTTTTTCTTTGAGATATTTAAGATTCACACATTTGTTCAAGTACATAGATTCTGATTCAACAGTAGATCTACATAGCTTGTTACTCTCTTAATATCTTGAGTAGCGTGTACTCCTGAGCAAGTACTATCTGAAATTCTAAAATTGCTGATCTTTGAAATAAAATCTATTTCAGCTGTGGGTTTTTAATAAATTGAGATGAAAGTAAAATTCACACCCCACCCCGCCCCCGCCCCCCAGGAACAAAGAGCTCTTATTAAAGTATAGAAACTCAAGTCTATCTTTCTACGCTAAAGAACATTTCTTACTAACAGTTCTGGTAAGGCAATAAATGCTCCAGAATAATCTTCAATATACGCTTGCAAAGATTACACTGTTGAATATCAATAACGAAAACAGAACAAAAAAGAAGAGGGGGAATAAAAAGGAAAGAAAGAAAAGACGCTCCGAAATTTCAAGCTAAAATATGCATAAAAGACAGTCATGGCAGTATTTTTGGAAACGATGTACATGTTATATACTTATCAAATAATGTCATGCTTATTAAAACTACAGTTAAGGACTTAAGAGATGAACAGTAAATACACTGCTGAGGTCCATTTTCCTAAATATTCATACCACAATGTAATTACTACCCAGAAGATGATGACGCTACTTGGGAACATAAGTACTGTACAATTTTTACATTGTAAGGCACTTTTTACTCAGCATGTGACGAAAACATGGATGGAGAATCAAAGTATTGGAGGTTTACAACCAAAGGTGATTTTTCATGTGACTTCAGTTTACATTTCAACTTTGAATGAAAGACCGTTTAGCCAATCACACCACAGTGAGAAAAATAGGTAGCCAGCCACTTAATTCTAGCCAACCAAAAGGTAAAGTGCTATTCTGGTTGCTAGTGGCAGAGAAAGGGGTGAAGAATTGACCCAATACAAATTGACACACTTGATTACATAACAAATCCATCGACTAACAACTACAGTATGTGAAGTCTATGATAGGATCATTGGCTGGCCACTATTACCCCGGCACCTTCCATTTTTCCTAAAAACATAATTACAGTAGTTGTCCGAAAATGAAGGTGCCCTACTGTTCCACGGGTAAGTCTATGGCACACAATGTAAAAATGATCAAGACACAGTGATTCGAAGATTTTAAAATAACAGGTTTCAAGCTGTTGTAAGGAAATAAAGTACAGATCCTTTGGAAAAAGTCACATAGCTTGGTAAACAAACATCTAGATCTGTCGTTGCACTTCAAGTCATGGTGAATTTTGAAAATTCATCACATACACACACACACACAAAAAACTCAATGGCATATTTAGAGCAAAAAGAGAAAAACATACAGGGCAACCCCACTAAAGCTAGTTTCCTTCTAAAAATAATAAAAGATGGTTAAAATAAAGCAATCATTGAGTCCCTTGATTGAAGTGAATGTGTGAATAACACACTTGACAAATGTGACCTTAAGGGACTAGCAGTTAAAAAAAATCAGTCATTAAGCACAGTGTAATTTTCCACCTGTTACATTTTAAAAACGCTTCTCCATAAGCTGCAGAATATCATGATGTACAGTCAAGTTAACATATTATTTCTTATTTGCTAATTTGCTTTAATGTGGTAGGTTAACGAAGAATTCAGAAATCAGAGTCCCTACCCTTGGTACTGAGGTGCTATGGTAATATTAGGCAGACCACAACTAAAGTTTTTTGGTTTTGCCATAAAGAAATACATAAATGTGCTTCAGCAGGTAAGTGTGAAAATCCTTTCTAAACAGCTGCGTTCTTAGGCTTCGATAAACAACTCTGATGATCAAGAAAACACCACCGAGCCCTACCAGGAAAAAACAAAACACGTAGGGCACCGAAAGCCTAGTCAACAGATAAGCAAAGCAATGCATGAAACCATGAGAAGTATTAAATAATTTTTAAAAAATAGTGGTCACAAAATGAAAAATAAATACTGTTTTATGCAGACTGTTTTTTTTTTTTTTATTCCAACAGCGGCTGAGACCTCCTCGTGTACTTTGGGCCAATATATGAAGTGTTCCACACCACACGGCACCTGAGAGAAACCAGTTTCAGACATGGCGGCTGAAGTCCTTCGTGAGTGGTAACCCTTTCAATTTTAAAAAGAGGTTTAATTTGCTGCTGCCAAATCTTAGTTTAAACTTGAAAGGATCCAATCATTTTGCTAGAAGCTCTTTGTAGGACATGATAAGAGAAGAGGTTTACTGTCAAGGGAATTTTGGCGTTAAGCACCGGAGCTCACAACTTAACATCGCCAGTCGCCCGAGTGCATGCTGGTCAGTGAGAACAACTTTAACAGGAACGAAATGAAAAGCTTTAGCACACTTCTTGGAAGAGATTTTTACCATGTGCTGTCAAAGCCAAGAGAAAAAGAAGGTTCTCTTCATTTCTAGCCTCCGTGACTTGAGTGTGAAAAAAAAGAAAATCACAAATTCCCATGTGTTGCCACCAGAGGCGTGTTACTATAAAGTGAAATTTGCTTATGCTTTCCCTTGAGTATGAGTCCACTAAACAAACTTAGACACTCTAAACAGTAGAACTTTTGTTCAGTCCAGAAATATAGCTTACTTCATTTCAATGTCTGCTTTAACTGTTGACACTATACACAGGGTTAATAGTGTTTCGATTGCTTCCCAGAAACTGCAAACTACAGCTAGTAATATCAACATGTCAAATTCTGCCATCTAGTGAAGGCTCATAAAACAAACAAGACGTTTTTAGGCAGTTCAATGAAGGATCTAAGAGTTGGGCAGTAAAAAGTGACAAACCCTTTTTGATTTTAGAAAACAGTGAAAAAAGAATAGTAGTTATGGATGTCTTATTCATTCCCAGTTTTCTAACTCTGTCCCATGAACCTGTTTAAAAGATGATAAAAAATTGTAAAATATGATGTTTGAGGGGAACACAATAAATATCAAGTTACTGAGGAGCAAGAACATCTTACTGGTTCGACATTACAGCTATGCTGATTGATAAAGCGGATCGCTTGTTTTTATTGTTACAAAATCAGCTAGTTAAAAAAAAAACTATGCAAGCCTACACAATCCTTTAGCATTCTAGTAACATGCTGAACTAAACATAATAGCATTAAAAAATCATACTGCATATACCATTACTCCAACAACGTTACTTATCAGCGAGTACTGTATCCCGACAACAGATCCGACACACGTAACGTTCATACCTAGTTTCCATTAAGTTGCTGCTGAGTTAGTTGCTGCTGGTCAATTTCTACTTTTCCCCGGCTTTTACTCTCTCGTTCCTCATCTTCTTCGTCTCTCTCATCATTCCCACTATGATTTTTACAGTACAGTCTACAATGAGGAAAGATAAAAATCTCAAAATGTTTTCTCGCTGTTGATGAGAATATATTTATGCCATTAGTAAATGAGGTCGGTGCCCACTTAAAATAGCTATGCTTTTTAAGAATGCTACAATTAGTTACATGTCGTCCATTTCTATCTGAATGATAGGAAAGCACACTATTAGTGAGATCATAAAAAGTTCATCTGAAATAAAACCTGTGGTTTAGGATAAAAGTTGTCGTGTATGCCCAAAGATATATAGACATTTCCTCATTTTACGCATTGAGATTAAAAATAAAGCTTCCAGCCTACTTGAACATATAAACTTGCAGGTATGTAGACGAATAGTCCAATTCTACGTTTCAGATACAGAATTCAAAAGCACATTTTAGGACATAATATAAACTCTATAGATACTGCTGCTTTCTGCTCGTATTACATGAAACACTTTTATTCAAACTCCCCACAATGTCATTTCATCATTAGTGTCCTGGCCCTTCATGAGCCCCCTAACAATTTGGCTCGGTCTCTATTTTCATTCATTCATTTATTTGGCTCGGTCTGTCTTGATCTAGACTGGCTCCTCCCAACTTCTTTGTTCCCCATGACACTGACTTTTGGGGAAAAGTTAGACCAGCTACCTTTTCAACTGTACCATTCTGGATTTGTCTAACTGTGGGACTGTTTCATTTGGTTCTCTCTTACCCCATATTTCCTATAAACTGGAAATAAGGTCTAAGGGTTTGGTTAACTCTAGGTTCAACTTTTCCTTGTGAGTCCAGGATATTTGATAGGGGACCCTGCACACTTCAGGAGGCATGTTAATTTCAGAATGCCCCACTATTAGTGACGTTGTTGGATCATTTGGTTAAAGTGGTGGTGATAGCCAGACTTTTCCATTGTACAAGTAGGTTTTCCCCCTTTAAAATCAGCAAATAACCTCTGAAGTGGTTTGACGTCTGGCTATTCTGACAACCTTTTATGTGGGTATATACACTGTTTATTTGGCATTCATTGTTTTTAATAAAAAAAAGCAATGCGTGTTATTTAGGACAAGGGTGTAGGTAGGCCAATTAATGTATACATACCACTATGTGTTTTATAGTTAACCACCCCACCATAATCAATGGGTGAGCTGACATCAGCTCAGTTTCAGGTCAATTATATATACCATGACAAGATGGAACAATGCTTTAAAAATGTTCAGTGGGTGCCCTCTTGTGGTCAGCAGTAGGTAAGACACTCATATACGAATTCTGACACAAATGACCTAAAACTAGGTTTAACATGAAGAGTTTCTAACGTGTGAGTAGAATAAAAGGTAGGGAGGGGGGTGGGGAGCAACAATAACAACCGACTTCCAACCTAGTTTTGCTTATTTTTTAATTTTTAAAACATTTTCAATGATTTCCAAAGAACTATGGAGAATCTGTATTCTTCAAATGCTACATGTTGGCAATCACTTAAAAATAAACCAACAGGGGCACCTGGGTGGCTCAGTGGGTTAAAGCCTCTGCCTTCGGCTCAGGTCATGATCCCAGGGTCCTGGGATCGAGCCCCACATCGGGCTCTCTGCTCAGCGGGGATCCTGCTTCCTCCTCTCTCTCTGCCTGTCTCTCTACCTACTTGTGATCTCTATCTGTCAAATGAATAAATAAAAAAATCTTTAAAAAAAAAATAAACCAACAGCCTGAGTTCAAATATCAGGAGTGAATTCCTTTATAGTGTACCTATAAAGTGTCTTCCTCCAAAGTATAACCTGAATTAAGCCTTTAAGCCAACTTATAAATTACACGGTAGAGGAACAAGGTGAATGGCATCATGAAAAGACAAAAAAATAAATCTAGAATGTGGGCCTTTCACAGGACGACTTATCAGGGTTCTGCAACAATAGGGGGGAAGGCAGGATGGAGTGGGGATTGCTCTATTTTGAGAGACTTACGAGACATACTCATTAAATGCAGTGTAGGGGCCTTGTATGTATTGAGATTTGAACAAATCGGGTCTGGAAAGGCATTTCCAAGACAACTGGGGAAATGTGAACGTGGACTTGGGAGATGACACTAAGAACTTCCTGCCAGTTTTAAAAGTGTGGTAATGGCATAGTGATACTGATGTATGTAGGGATACACTGACAAGAGGTGTGGGATTCTGCTTCAGCGGAAAGGAAAAACAGTAGATGAGAGCAAGTGTGGCAATAACTCGGGAGCTGCTGAGATGGGGAGTGGCTACAGTATCCTATTACTGTATACTTTTGAAAAATTTCAGTAAGAGCCCTTAGTTGTTAAAACAGATTTTAATCTTTTTATAGCATCAGTTTTCACTCCCATGGGCCCGTTACGCGTCCTTTGCCAATCTAGACACCAAGACCACAGGTGACATCCTGTCAAACAAGATCCCTGTCACATAATTTACTTTTTTATGGTGGGGGACTCACTTTTTAAACATACATATTTTAAAAATTTTAGTAATACAGCAGAGACAATAAAACAGGATAAGCAGAAAAACTATGTATGGAATCTTCCCTCACCTTCTTAAGGAACAAATACATTTAATCTAATGAATAGATTAATGTAATAATTTAATGAATATATTCAGGATCCAGAAGGAGCCAGTAAAGAAGGAAAGCCACATGCAGGAGGGGGAAGCCACTTCATTCGGAAGTATTTCTCCTTGCATTTCCTACTTGTGCGTTCTTCTACCCCCAAACTACTTGCACACGGACTCATTTGAACTCAAGAGTCTCTATGAACAGAAGCTGGAATCCGCACCATAAGCAGATTTTAGAAATAAATTTCAATGTGAAAAAATAAAGAGTAATTCAAATCACTGTGGATGCTGGTGTAAATATTTTCTTTAGAGACGGTCACTGTGACGTGGTTTCTTAATAGCTAAAGATTAAAAACCATCAATGTCTAAAAAAGGAACTGATTACACTGATAGACCCGTACAATGGAATACTATGCAACCATTAAAATGGTGATATAAAACTGTTTAATGTCACAGAAAAATGTCTCAGATATAGCAAGTGGAAGACAGATTACAAAAGCGTATATAAGATCTTTTTATGAATAAATGCGCATACACAATCACATACATGTCTAGAAAATATCCTGGAAGATTTAAAATTCTCTCTGCTGGTAGAACTGAAGTTCACATTAGGCCTTTTCCCCTTATCTTTATTTTCCACTTTTTTTTCCCCCAAAGTGAAAATGGGTAAATATTACAGTATGTAAGTGGGGCTGAAATTTAAATACAAGAATTTTCCACATATCTGATCTTAGATGTTTAGCACAGGCCTGTTTTTAAATCTTAATGCTACTTTAAATAACGGACTGCTTATAAAAATATTCAGCCACTGAACTATATAAATATAAAACTGCTGAACAGTAAGTTGTATAAATTGCTTCTCTCCCATCCCCATGCAGTGGATGAGGTAACAACTGTTAAAGTACATTTGCGAACACAGACACGTATCTTGTGCACGCGTGTTTTCTATGCGCCAGAACAGGGTCTCACACAACTCGGTTGTTTGGAAGCAACCCCAGAACACCTCTCCGTGACTCTCCACGTGGATCTACTTCCGTCTTTCATTGCTGCATAGTATTCCATTAAATGCGCCTACTAAAACTTGAGTCTCTGGATAGACATTGTTTTGGGCTTGATTTTTGCCGTTGTGGGTTAAAAATTCCTTTCCCATTTCACCTTCGGTTAACTCTAGCTGTTATTCCCTTGGCAACTGCGCCGAAACTGGCATGGCGCGTCCGCTTCTTTACTAAGCCGCCCCCCCCTTCCAGCAGGTAGATGGAAGCTGGCTCAGAATTCTATTCTGATGAGCCGGCTCTCTGGCCCTGTGTGGTGTGACCTGAAAATGCCCTATGCCTAGCCGACTGTCCCGTAACAGGTGCTGGCTCAATGGGGTAAGCAGCTTTTAAGGCGGGGGGGGGAGGGGGCGGGAAGGATCCCCTGTGGCCCCACCCAGCGTGAATCCAAACTGACTGGGCCTGCGCTGTACCGCAAGCGCGCCCTCGAGGCCGCAGATGCTGCCCTGCCGGCCAGCGGCACTTCCTGTCTCTATCCCCAAGCTGACTGATGCCATCTGCGCTAATCGCACCAATCCCAGCACAGGTGCGTCAACAGGGTGCCCTAGTGGGTAGTGCGGCTATCCTTCACGGGGCAACGGAACTGCCTGCACATACATCTTTGTGCTGTTTTCTGCTTCCCTGGCAGAAATCCCTACCACGCATACCATGCATACGCAAAATACATTATTTTGTTAAAGGCGGTGGTCTCCAATGCTGAACTGCTCTCCTAAATTGTAAGTTAAATTCACCATCAAATGCAAATGCCAGGTCTCCAGAACCTGGTCGACAGGTGAATCCTACTCATCTTTGCCCATCAGATAGGCAAAAACTAGAAAGATATTGTTTAATTTGCATTTCTTTCATTACTAAGGGTGAGTGGCTTTTCACATGCTTATAACCCACGGCTAGTTCTCCTATAAACTGCCTTTTCACGTTCTTCACCCATTTTATCCCCCCTAAACTGGGCTCTTTTTCTTAAGGATCTGGAGTTCTCTTTAGCCTAATTTTAATGTAGTCAAAAATTCCAAGTTTCCTAACACGTTTAGAAAGGTCATCTGTACTCAAGAGATTCTAGAAAATTTCTCCTACATTTTCTGTTTTACTTCGGGTTAGATTTTTAGCCCATCGAGGAGGTATTCCTGGGGTACAGTCTGAGGTAAGGATTCAAACTGTTTCCTAAATGGAGCCAACTATATAAGCTGTACAGAGATCAGATACTGAATAATCAATCCATCCTGTCTCCACAGATCTAGAACCACCGAAATTACCCAACAAAGACATGGATCTGTTTCCTGTGATCTTTGTCACTGTGCCAGTACCAGTTTTTTAATTACTGGGTGAGTACCTACTTTCCCCTCTCCCCTTGGTAGCACTGAAGCAGATTTGGGGAGCATTGTGCCCACCAGGGGTGCACTTCCCAGCCCCCGCTGGATAGGTGACTGAATTCCAGCTAATGAGATGCTGAGCAGAAGTGTGTGTGGAACCTCCTGGAAGGAGGATTAAAAACCCGTCAGCTGGAGGAACTGCCACTTTGTCCTTCCGCTTTCCTTTGCTCCCACTTCCTCCTACTGCCTACGGAAGGACACCCCAGGGATGAGAGAGCAGGAAGATGGTAATCCGGGTCTCTGATGACACAGAGAAGAGGCTAACACATTGGACTGCACTCCTTGGGACATCTTGCAGGGGAGAAACAAATTTCTATCTTGTTTAAGCCTCTAGTTCTTCCCTGTTCATAAGGTAACTTAATCATTACCAGTAGAAAATAATAACCCACTCACTCTTCTAGATAAAACCATCGACATTTTATATTTCATCAAAATTGTACTCGATGTATAGATTAATTTGAGAAGAATAGGTGTCTTTCAGTGTTGAGGAACTTTTCATCAGGGAACATAATACATTTTACTATCCACTTGGGTCCCGTGTAAAACACTGTGTTTTGTTTGTTTTTTTTAAAGGTTCAACTTTGGTGTGCGAATGTCTGTGGGGAAGGAGTAGAGGGTGACATTTTTCCTTGCTATTTTCTAACTAGTTGTTACTGGAGCTGTTTTTAAAACTTCATCTCATAGTCAGCAACCTTACTGAGCTCTTATTTAGTAAATTGAGTTGGTCCCTTTGGATTTTCTTGGTAGACAATGACATCAATAACAAATATTGACAATTTTATTTTGCTCCTTCATGGTATTTATTAGACATTTTTCTTCCTTCTCTTGTTGCAGCGGCTTAACCCTCCAGAAGAACGCTGAAAAGTAACATTGGTAGTTGGCACCCTTCTCTGGTTCCTGATCTGAATGGAAGTGTATTGGTATAGTGGCTCTCAATTATGGATGAACTTGAGAATAACCTGGAGAGTCATCGAAAAACATGGTTTGGGCCTCAATCCACGGAGTTTAAAATCTCCGGGGCCCAGGCACGAACATTTTTAAAGAGGGCCCTATCCACCCTCAGGTGGTTCGAGGCTCAGCCCTGGTTAAGAACCACTGTCCCTTTAACACTTCGCTGTTGTCTTCTCATAAATGCTCTATTAGGACCCCCCGCTTCCCACGGGGACCCTTGGTACTGCACTTTAAAGTTCAGAAATGGGTCTTGAATGCTATGAAATGCCTTTTCACCATCCACCAGGAAGGTGATAGGATTTTTCTTTCTCTGTTAATGGCAATGGATCACATTAATAGATTTCCTAATTCTGAATAGTCTTCAAATTGTTAGAAGACAGCACTGCATTTGATGTTCTAACATTTTATTAGGACTTTGGTATATTATTTATAACAGTGAGACTGGTCTATAGCTTTCTTATTTGCTTTTGTTTTAAATGCTATCTTTGTCAGGTTTGGTCTCCCAGTTATGCAAAGTTTTAAGGAATGAACCAAGTCTTTCATCTCTGCTATGCGCTCGACCTCTTTAAATAGTATTGGAATTCTCTGTTCCTTAAAGGCTTGATAGAACTCACTTGAAAAACAGCTCTGCCTTTATTATTAAACAGAGTTTGGCAAATTTTATAATACAGCCCTCGCACCTCATCCAGTTACCCAAATGCATGGCGGCTGTCTGTATAAACTACTTTGTATACGGGGCAGTAGGGTGTTTACTCATTGGCCTACTACATCCTGGGAATGTAAGGAAGTGCTTTACAACTCGCAAAGGCAAGTCGGAAAATCCACGGATCCCCACCAACTTCTTGTCATTCAAGCAAACAAATGGAACCATTATAGATGCGCACTGATATGAAAGACCCGGAAAACAGAAGGTAACATGTCATCCCAAATCTCCAAACCTTGTGCCTTCATCACAGGCGTAAGAGTGTCTCTGACCTTCTGTCTTCACAAATGCACCCGCTTCTAAGCTACCACGAACCCTCACCTGGACCCTGAGCAGGAGCCTCCCAACTCACCTTCCCATCTGCACCCTTGCTTCTGTCCCACCTTCGGGTCTTGCGCGTGCTGTTCCTTCTGCCTAGGACACTGTCCCAATGCCCACCCTGACCTTCACCCAAGAAGATCAAGCTCTTCAGCTCAAGCTCTATTTCCTTAAGGACATTCCTAAACACTCTGCAGTACAGACTATGAGTCAGGTCCTCCTTGCTGGCTGCTCTCGTAGTGCTTTGTAATGGATCCTTTCCAGCACTTAAGTAGATTGTAATTGTAGATTTATTTATGTGCTCATTTAATTAATATGTCTCTCCCACTAGACTACAGGCTTCAAGGGAACATAGTCTGTGCCTCTACTGATCACTCTATTTTTTTTAAAAGATTTTATTTATTCATTTGACAGAGACACAAAGAGAGTGAGTGAGAGAGGGAACACAAGCAGGGGGAGCGGGAGGAGAAGCAGGCTCCCTGCTGAGCAGGGAGCCTGATGCGGGGCTCGTGCGGGGCTCGATCCCAGAATGGTGGGATCCTGACCTGAGCCGAAGGCAGACGCTGAACTGTCTGAGCCACCCAGGCGCCCCCACTGATCACTCTTGTATGCCCAGCTCCCAGCACAAAACCTGGCATTTGGTAAGCATGAAGCATACTGGCCGAATGAATGCGAATCCAGGGATGTGTAGTCAGAGGAAGACGCCAATCGTAGTACTTGTTTCTTTATATATAAGAGTCCTAAGTATTCTACGCTTGGCTAAATACCACCTAGGAATCATGACCAAGTAAACTAATGCCATCTATTTAAGGGCAATTACTTACTGACAAGTTTAGGCAAATGGACAATTGTTGTTCTCTTACTTGTAAATTCCTCGTGACATATTTTCAATGTATTTAGCTTTGTCTTGTACTCCACAGTGGTAATGGTAAGTCTTAACACAGGCTTTTATTTCACATCCAATAGTAGCACCGGGCTGACTGCAAAGTGTACATTTCTGTTTAAGGGAAGAGAAAGAATGATCATAAGCAGTATTTCAAAGTTTTTGCAACCTTATTTATTCTATTTTAGCCATATTTCAGCCACACATTCTAGTTTACAAAGAAAACAGCCAGTTTTCTATGGAAAAACAGTACAGTGAACTTACTGTTTAGCAGATCTGTTAAATCATGCCGCAAGTTAAACCATACTTCGATAGACTTTCTGATATTAAGTCACTCCCTGATGCTTCCATTATTTACCTATACTAACCTTCGAAGATCTGACATCCAAACATAAACAAGACACTCCTCAATACCGCCAAACACCAAAGAATTAGATTCTGTTACTTTAGTGGTTGGCTTCTTCTGCTCCCTGGGACCAGTTCCTTTCCTGTGATGACTGAAGAATGAGAAGACAGGAAAGCAATTCCCCACCAAGAGGGATTGCTACCAAGTAGGTAAAAGGGCAGAGGGAGACTGAAGGGGCTGAAATCTTTTCAAGACATCGCGTCTTGGCCTCATTCAGCCAGGCTTGCCTCAAGAATGTTCTGAGATTCAAAGGTGGTTGTTGACAAAAGAGTTTCACAGTCAAGTAAGTTTGAGGAATGCTAGTTTTAAACAGACTGCTTGACTGCAGAACTTCTCACAGCCTTTCTGCAAGAAGGAGGGTACAGTAAATAGTTTCCAAATTACTGAACTCCAGATGCCCTTATATTTTTGGACGGGTGGGGGGGCATCTTGACGGACTACTTTCCTTTGGAGCACACTTGGGAAAGTGCTAGTTTGGTGTTTACATGAACATTCAACTGGGCAGAGGTGAATGAGTTGACCAGGAGGATTGACTGTTACACTAGTCACCTACTTGGACCGCAGCTGTATGACATGACAACACTGCTTGGTATGGTAAGCTGAAGAGATTTTTCCCTTATTTTTTTTAGTATCCTACATTCTGATTTAAAGGAGTTTCATTTTTACAAGAGTAATTGAAGTATCAGAACGGAAACTGGATTTAAGTGGAACAGATCACATCAACGATCTTCACACCTTCAGAAATGCAGCTCCACAAAGAAAGGGGCATCTCTAAGGGATTCAGATAAAGCTCACCAACATGGCAAACCACTAGATGAGACACTGAAGGGGAACTTCACAACAGAGGGGGGAGGGAGTAGACTCACCTCCTGAATCCAAGGATCAGACATTACGACTAGTCTGATGTAATAAAATACAGATGACAGAGTCCTACCTGTAGGTATTCTTACCCCCAAAAATCTTGACACTGAATCTAATCAAGCCTTTACATCTAACTTCCACTTTAAAAGAAAATCTGGTGGATAGAGGGACAAGTTAAATGGCATCATGAATAAGCAGACAGACAGATAAAACATATGGGACATGGGATATTGCCTACAGGACAAATCATTCATTTTCTTCAACAAGACAATGGCATACGACGAAACAAAAACAGACACAACAAAGACAAGGAGAGAGGGAAATGCCCTGGGTTGTCACATCAAGGATACAGAACCACCAAATGCAATGAATGGGTGATCCTCCTCTGGATACTGAGTCACATGAATTGACTTTAAAAAGGTACTTTTGAGACAATTGGGGAGATACAAATACGAACTGGGTATTAAATAACACTGAGAACTCAATGTTAATTCATAAGGTGTAATGACATTGTGGTTAGGTAAGAAAATGTCCAACTTTGAGGAGATACATACTGAAATAATGTAGAGGTGAAATGATAGGAAGTCTCAGCTCTGCTTTAAAACACTTCAAGCAACAAGAATAAAAGGCAGAGATGAAGCAAGTGCCGCAAGTTCTTGATAACTGATGGGTCAAGGTGATGGACAGACGTGTGTTACTAGTCTTTCTAATTTTGAGATGTTTGAAAATTTTCACAATAAAAAAATTTTTAAATTCAGGTCATCTCTAGAGACAGTTGAGGTCTTAAAAGATTTATCATTCCATTGACATTTTATAATATTTATCAACTGTAAAGGAGTAAGTAATCAATAAAGATGCCAATATTTCTTAAAGCTATTTATTAGTAATTCAGTATGTTTAAAAACATGAGACTTAGGCACAGTTTATAAAGAAAACTTTAAAGCTATGGTAAACATTTTAAGAGACATAACTGTGTATGTGAACTTTAACTAAACAGAAGGCTCTGAAAAAAATCTTTTCCTTTTATTTGAAAAAAAAAGAAAGAAAAAAAAAATAAAGAACAACATGGGGAAGTTCCCAATGATCTATTAGGATTATGGAACTGTTCTTTAAGCAAGCTGAAATAATATTAACATTTTAAACTTAGTAAGGTGTGTCACATTCACATCTTCATTTATTTTATTAAAAGACTCTCAGATACCCTGAAATATAAATCTCAGTGTAATTCTCTTAGGTACTGAAGTTACATAGAAAGAGGAGTAAGTTCCAGAAACATCAGCATCCTTTATTGTATTACAAATAAGTCAAATATATACTTGCTTTAACATATGAACTACTTTAGATTAGCTGTTTTAATGACTGGATAAATTTGAGATGTGTTCTAAATTTAAAGCAGAAAGTCAGAAGAGTAACGTTGCATAGCATAAATATAAAACCACAGACCATTCTTTTTCCTCGCTTAATCTCCTGAAGTACAGTTTTAATATCAAAATCTCCAAATTCTGCTCTTGATGTTGTTGTGAGCTGGACTGTGCCAGAAGAAAATAACTAGGAAAGAAAAATGCAGAAACATTTAATGTTCAGAACCCTTGTGAGAAAAAGATTAAACAATGGAATAACAAATGTGTTCTACTACTTCAATATCCTGAGAAAGAGAACTTTTCTTTAAAAATCAAGTATCAACTCCAGTATTTTTAACACATTCAGATGTCTGATTAAAATATAATCCAAAATAAGGACAACAGGTGCAGTCGGTTAAGCGTCCGGCTCTTGGTTTCAGCTCAGGCCATGATCTCTGGATCATGGGATCGAGCCCTGTGTGGGGCTCCGCACTTGGTGGGGAGTCTGCTTCTCTCCCTGTCTCTCTGCCCCTTCGCATGCATGTGTTCTCTCTCCCTCTCTCTCTCTCTCTCTCTCCCTCTAATAAATAAATCTTTAATTTAAAAAAAGGAAAATAAAACAAAACTAATGTTGCCAGTGTGGACCCAAGATTAAATATTTCATTCAACAATGCAGATTTTAACAGTGTTACCCAGTCGTCTCCATCGTTTTATGTTTCCACAGAGTTTTAAAAAATAGTTTAAACTGGCAAATTTCAGCCACAGATGTAGATCAAAATTACCTGGGGATATATTTTTTAGACTAGACAGTTCTGGGATATACTCCAGGGGTGTGTATTTCGGAAAAAGCTCCCCAGGCAAGTCTGATACACATCTCTGGTCAAGAACCCCGGATATTAATAAATACAATTTTAAAAACCTAACCATAAATGGGATGAATAACTGAATCCAATCAAATTCAAAAATGTTTATGTATCCTGTAAGTCAGACCCGGATCTAAGGACGCAAAGATCAAGCACAGTTCCTCTCTTCAAGGAATTAAAAGTCTGTTATGGGAGAGGATCATAAATGACTGCAGGGCAATGTGTGAGGGACAATGACACAGACATGAACTGGGCTACAGGGCAGGCCGACCGTGTATCTTCCATCACAAGTTTATAAAGCGCAAAGTTGTACAGTCACAAAATAGTTAACTGTCATTATCTAGAATATGGGAACTCTAATTAGGACTCCTTTAGATCTTACTAAATCATAAAGGCTATATTTTTAAAACCTAAGAACTATGAGGATATGGAACTACAGGATATACTATTCCTAATTCTATACCACTTACGCTGGAGAGAAAAGTGCCCTATTTGGTTACTAGCTAAATGCCTTTCCAAAAAACCTGGGTTTAAAAGCACATGAAAGAACCATGCTTACCATGCACTTATAATGTGCAGCTGCCTTCTTGGCATTAAATATATGCAGCTTTCCTCTTGCTTCGTTTTCTTCCTCTCCTACATGACAAAATCCACATTTAGGTCTGGTGTCACTAGGGCTGCTTCTATGTGGAGACCGATCTCTCTGCAAATGCAAAAGAAAAAAAAAAGAAAAAACTTAAAAATATATTATCAGCACCTTCAAGCTTCGTTAACAATTCAAATGATGAGCTTTACCTATACACACGGTTTAAACGAAATAATCGTGGTACAACAAAAAGAATCCCACATTTTTCTACTTACGTAGGAACTACTTTCCATTTCATCTGTTCCATGGGAGGATGTGGACCTGGTATCTTCCGACAGCCCTTTAAAATTAGTTTTTCGTGGCCTTCCTTTGCGACTTTTCTTTTTACTTTTAGGTGATGAGGGCTCCAATTCATGTTCGTTAAAACTTTCTTCTAAGTCAGCTGCTCAAAAATGAACAAAAACTTGACACGGACTCATCTTAAAATGAACATTTGTTCATGGGTCCTTAGAATATGCATTTCTCCTTAGAATGAAATCCCCTCCAGAGATGAAGGGAAATGGTCTGTGGTATGCTCGCTATAGCAACCTTAATGTTTCATATAAATGTAACAAAAATTGAATATAAAAACATAGTTTTATTATAATCACTGTCATTATTCCTTTTGAATTTATAATTCTATAAAAATGAGTTTTGGAATCTTGACTGTGCACATAAGTCAGTAAACATTTTCAGACTCTAATAAAGTCAATTCTCAGAACTAGCACTTGTACTGTTTTTTTTTTTTTTTTTACCATAGGTTTCAAAGCGTTTTCCCTCACACTGTTGGTGAAATCAGAACACTTAAAAGAAAATAAACTTACTCTAACTTGGAAAACTAAATGAAAATAAAGCAGGTGTATCTGTGCTGTCCGGTAATAGCAGCCATGAGCAAATGGTGGCTTTTTACAATTTCTGTTGCTTATAATTAAACAAAACCAAACCCGCAGTTTCTCACTCACACTGACCACATTTCAAGTGCTTATTACCAGTCACATGAGGCAAGCTGCGCCTGTACCAGACATCACAGATAGAGAATGTTTCTATCATCACAAAAATAGTTCTACCAGACATCGCAGTTCGAGCATAGCTCCTTGAATTATCATGAAAATCAGATGATCATATTCAACGAGGAGGTCTTGTACAAATGAACTAACTACTGATCAAGTAATTAGACAAATGTTAAGTATAAAAGGCATTTCTAACATAAATGGTTAAAAAAAAGCTGTGTTGCAAGTTAGTTGTATACTTTAAGAGATTAAACAAAATGTATGTAGAAATTTTACAACTACATTTCCCAGCAATTTGAAAATAATTTCTACCATTAACGGAAGGGTGTTTCATTCAGTTATTCACTATAAACATTTATTGAGGCCCTACTGTACCTAAGACAATGTATTTAGTGTAAAAAGGTATAAAAACCAAACATTCACTTGTCTTTTAGAGTCCAACTAAAAGTTTTAGGCACAGTTCTAATGCCTCCATTGTTTTTTTCTTTTAACGTAAGTCTTCAATTCTAGGGACTAATTTCTCAATGAGAAAGCATATCAACTTCGAATCATAGATGCTAATATGTTTCCTAATAAATACTACAATGGTTTTTAATTTTTTATTGTTTTAGAAATAAAAGCATAGTCATTATGACAAGAAAGGGGTAATTTAATTACTGTATCTGAATACATAAAACTCAAGGAACCGAAAGCATCGGACTGTGAAATAGTTAATAAAAATTTATATCAATGCCACTTCACATAACTGCAGTAGGGTTTGAAGGAGGAAAAAAGGGGAAAAGGTAGAAGTGGATAGCATTTTATAGGCAACAAGGCAAATTTATATGGCTAATTCCCTGTGAAGACAGAGAAGTCAAAAATACCTTCTGATCTTAACATTATAGCAAATTTCCTATCAGAACACATCACAGACTTTAAACATTCAAACTGACAGCTTCTAAGAAACAGAATTTCATTAGGACTGTCAGAATTACTTGCAGTTGCCCCAAATTTAAAAATTCTTTAAAATAAAAAATAAGCAAATGTTTCAATCATTCTGATACATGTTATACTGTACATGTGATACACATAATATTCTGTTACAATGAAAACAAATAATCACTAACACGGTAACACTGCATTCTTAAACACCGTTAAAGAAATTACTTAACTGATTCCATTATCAGGCCAACATGACTAGTATTCCAAATGGCTTTCCTTTTTTTTTTTTTTTTTTTTTTTTTGGTCCTAAATGTGGAAAATTTGGGTTTAAATTTTTTGGGGACTTTTTTTTTTTTTTCAAGATTTTATTTATTTATTTGACAGAGAGAGATCACAAGTAGGCAGAGAGGTAGGCAGAGTTGGGGGGGGGTAGCAGGCTCCCTGTGAGCAGAGAGCCTGATGCAGGACTCGATCCCAGAACCCCGAGATCATGACCTGAGCCGAAGGCAGAGGCCCAACCCACTGAGCCACCCAGGCACCGTTTTAGGGGACTTTAACAGCAATAGTAAAAATCGTAAAAGACTGACAAATTTAACTATATTAAATTTTCAAACTTACATAGCAAAGAAAGTGTTAAAATTAAAAGGCAAACAATAAACGAGAAAAACCTGCTGTAATTGTGAAAAAGGATCACTATCCTTACGATATAAGCTCGTAAGAGATTAACACCCCAACTGAAAAAATGGACCAAACATATGATCAAATAATTCACAGAAAATAAGTAGTTAAACATAGTTCTATAGAACATTTGACTTCTCTGGATTCAAAGTGTAAATTAAGTGATATGTCATTTTCACCTATCAAAATAGCAGACTTATAAAAAGTATGAATAAACAAAAAATGAGTTAGAAATAAAAATCCAGAAGAAGCCCCACAGAAATACTGAGCTACACCATGCTTCTGGACGAACAGGATCAACATCAGGATGTCAGCTCTCACTAACCTAATTAATGCAACTCTGATAAAATGGCTGATCCCACCGTTTTCTCAAAGAGTAAATATATAATACACAAGAATTTTTTTTGAAATCTCAAGATATACTATAAAGAAACAGTAGTTAAAATCTTGGCACAGGAAGAGACCTATATCAGCAAGAGAGAAAGCAAGGTTGAAAATAGACCCATAAGCATATGGGAATTCAGAGTATAATGGTAGCATTTCAAATAAGTGGGGAGAAGACACGATGGCATAATTGGCTATCCACTTTTTAAACACCGACACTCCTTTCCTTATACCATATGAGAAAAATCTCATCATAAAATAACCAACTATAAATATAACAGAGAAGAAAATGGAGGAGAGTAATTTTTATAATCTTGGGTCAAGACACCTAAGAAGTCATAAAGGAAAGGACTGAGATCTGACTAAACATTAGAAACCTTCGCATGGGGGCACCTGGGTGGCTCAGTTGGTTGGGTGGCTGTCTCTTACTTCGGGTCAAGTCATGATCTCACGGTCCTGGGATGGGGCCCCGCATGGGGCTCTGCACTCAGCAGGGACTCTGCTTCTGGATTCTCTCCCTTTCCTCTCCCTTTGCCCACCACCCCCCCACTTACGCGCGCTCTCTCGCTCTCTCTCTCAAATAAATAATAGATCTGTAAACAAAACAAAACAAAAACAAACCAAAAAAAAAAAAAACAAAACCAAACCTTTGCATGGCACAAGGCACCATAACAGAAACAGAAAACAAATGATAAACTGGGAAATCATTCCCATTTAGTGATGGAGAATTAATACCCCCATTACAGAAATCACTCACTCACAAATCTATTTCAAAAGGACAAACCCAGAAAGAAAAATGCACAAAGGACAGAAACTGGCAATTCACAGAAAAAATATAAATGACTGAAAAAAACTTGAACAGTAAGGCCAACCTTACTAGTGATAAGAGAAATGGAAATTAAACGAGATAACAGGATTTGCAAAAATTAAAGACTGATAAGGTCCAGCACAGAGGCAGGAAATACACTGTTGGTGGGAACGTAACCCACCTGGGTGTGATAGTCCTTTCCCCAAAGTTAAATGCAAACCCCTTTTTAAAACTTTATCCTATAGAATCACTCCTATAGGTAAGTAAGCATATATGTACAAGGAAGATCAATGCAATGCAGTCTCATTTGTTTTAGTGAAACAAATAGATGTAAATGATTTTATTTGATAGAGAAATCCTTACATAAACTATGGTTCTATTTATTCTATGGGAAAAAGAATGAGGTCAACTGACAGGAAAAAAGACAAAATTGCTTCAATGGAAAAAAAGCAAAAAGAATGCGGTCAATCTGTAACCACCAATAGGGAAGGAGGTCTGTGATAAATCACAGAATTAAAAAAGCAAGAAGCATCATAGTTATGTACATCAACTATGATGCCACCGTATTTATCAGTAAGTGTGCGCAGACACTATCTACACAGGTTTGTATGGAGGTAAACAAGGCTCTGGGGAGATACCCACCAAACTTGCTACCAATTACTCCTCAAGAAAGTGACTTCAGGGCAAGGGGAGGGCTTACTGATCTGCTTTAATTTAGTATTATTGTACTATTTTAATATGAAACAATGGACAATGAACTACTAACATAACTGAAAGAACTTCCATCATCCGATGCGGTGAAAGGAGGGTAAACTCATCCACCACTGATGGGAGTACAAGCTAGCACAACCTTCCAGAAAGTAACACGGCGACAGGCCTCAGGAACCTTAAGAAGACTGAACCCTTCAACCTAGTGACTGGACTTTGGGAAATTTACCCAAAAAAAAAAAATCACTGAAAATGCACATGGAAAAAGGAGCATGAGGCTAGTCACAGCGCCTTTGTTTAAATTTTTCACGGTTACAACAGGTCCACCCCCATTTCAAAAGTGTGAAAATGTTTTAACATTGAATTTTGTTTCCTTCTTCAGTAATAATTATAAAGGAACTCTGCATAAAAATGGTAAAAATCTCCCTTTCCACCTTCTAATTCTGCCTGCTTGGCACTCCCAGTGGCGCCGTGGCTTTCTTGCCACCCCTCCCCTTCTCCCTCCCTCAAGTAACCCCCCTTAACTGCTTTTCTTCTCAACCTCAAGGGTTGAGAGCCTCGTTTTGGATCCTTGATCTGCCAGACTGCGTGTCCTCTTGCCTCAGAGCCACCTCACAGGGCCCAAGAATGAACCGGATGAGTCCGTCCGTGTAAAGAAGTGAGTTCAAGAACAGCGCCTGGCTGGTGAGACCCTCTCCGTATCTGTTAGCTACTGTCTTCCCTGTGTGTGCAAATGCGTTTTTTAAAAGGAGACACGAACAAATGGCATCCTAAGTATCCTATTCTGCATCTTGCCCTTTTCTGTGTTATCTCTAAATTGGAAAGAGCCCAAATCTAAGAGCTCACATTTCAGCTTCTGGAGTTCTGACTGTGCCACATGTGCTCTGCAAATTA